AAGTTTTTTTCTAAGGCAAAGGCATCAATTTGAAATAACTATTCCGAAGAAAAACCCAAAAACCCATATAAGCGACAATATGCAGACCTTAGTTAAAGCAAACAATTGTCACATTAGTTGTAAATAAGTATGGTAAAGACTTCAATCTGTTACGATCTCTCGCTGAGCTAAGATCAAGACACGGTACGAGTGTTATCGCAAGGAAATCTTAAGTAATGTTTTGACAGGACTGTACAGAAGTGAAAGATGCAACTATCATTTTTTAAATGGGATAAGTTTCCAACTGCGAACATTGCGGCGTAGCGAATTCCAATAATTATTTACGGCCTTGGGATATCTGCAGCAGTAATAGCAACTATTGATTTAGAGAGCCAGCTACCGTTCCGTCTTCAAACTCGCAGTTATGACCGCAGAATAAATATAACAGCAGAACATTCATCAAGAATTAGAATGAGCATTATCACGAGAAAGTAAAGATGAAGCTTGAATAAGATTTTAAGAGATGAGACAAAAAAAAAATTTGAACTTTTAAAACGTAGTTTGGCATCAACTCCTGCCACGAAATCTATAAAAAGAGACAAGTGAGAAAGTTTGAGATTCTACAAATGGAACACGATGTTTTAGCAAAGCTAAAAATAGAAATGTTTTATATAGAAAACTTCTCAAACCCGCATACCTCGATCGCTATGAATAACAATTGCACTAGTATTCCAGGTCAACATCAAAATTTGAGTTTAAGTAAGAAGTATGATAGCTAGCAGTAAAATGATCTGCAGAGGTACAGCACTTATTTCCATATGAGCGAAATTTGAAAAAGAAATGACTTAGAGACCCTAGTGAACTAAAATTACGAATGAAGCACGGACCCATATAGAATGGTCTTGCCAAACCGAAATCCGCAAGCTTGAGGATACCGTCTCGGGAAAGTAACACATTTGCGGCCTTCATATCACGATGCAGAATTTTAGAACGATGAATTTTCCACAATCCATTGAAGAGATGCTGAAATAGTGGGCTTTGAAGACAACATCGTATCGATGTAAAAAACGAACTATTTCAGAAATCCGACAAACACCTAAATGTAACATGGTTTTTTTTTTTGCGTGCTG